TGCTATCTTCGAATCACCGTCTGCTGCAGAAGACGTGAGACTCGGCATTCGTTTAGGGCACATTCTTAAAGATCATCGACGGCTGTCAGAATCCATTATGTGCCACAGCTGGATTTTTCGTAGGAGAACGATCCGAGTTAGCTATGACGGCCTGCGAGATTGCAGATCGCCATCTCCGTAGGACATTTGAAAGTGGGGGGAAGGAAGGAAGGATGGATGGGAAGCGGGACTACCGGTTGTTTGGAACACACCACGATGGGTACCCTCCGCCGGTTTAGACCACCGGTCCAAGAAATTACCCGGTCGTGGCTGCTAGGCAGGGCCTAACTCAGAGGAGTAAGAAGTGATATTTCGTTGCCAGTAAGGGCCGACACAGGAACATTCACAACCTAGGCAAAATACATGCAGCTTCTTAATATTACCATCTCGCCCCTCCCCGCCCCGCCTAGTTAGCGTCCCTACATCTCTCTAACAAAATCCGAATACTCGTGAACACTCCCCCTCCTATTGATAAAAAAATCCCACTTTTCGCACTGCATACCATTTTAACCGCAAATAGTTTGAGCATTTACAGTATGGCGAGTGCTGCAGGCAAAATGCTGCAATTTTCGAAATACTGGTGATCACTCACAAATCAACATTAAGTAGAGTTGCAATACTGATTAGCGTGCGGTCGAATTTCAAGTCTTTTTAGTCACGCTAGGACGTCGGCACTGTAATGAGCTACAAAAGTGCAAAAAGTAGATACTGAAAAAAGCAATTCCTAAATACTATGCCTTTTTATAATATTTTTTGATTGCCTTTATAAATTTGAATGTATTTTATAAAAAGCATGCACGAAAATATTTTTTTCTTGTATTCGTTTGGTCGGAATTTATGAATTTAAATTTCATATCCAATGGAAGGGTATCCTTCGGTCTTAGAACCATTTATAATTATAAGATTTTTAGAATTGTGAGGAGCTCCTTCATAATAAATTGCACCCAAAAATTTACTAATGCTTTCTGTAATCTACACAGAAAGAAGATTATCACAGAGTCGGCACCCTATCGTGACTGAGAAGACTTGAGATTAGCCTGCATGATGATCAGTATTGCAACCCTGCTCAATGTTTTTTTGCGAGTGGTGACCAGTCTTTCGCAAATTACGGTATTTTGCTTGCAGCACTCGCTTTACTGTACAGGCTCAAAGTGTTTGCGGTTTACATGGTATACAGTACGACAAGTGTGATGTTTTAATCAATACTATAAGCATTTTAGGTAGAAAATAATAGAACTAAGCCTACATCTAATTATTTCTATTACGGTCCCTCAAGATATGTGCCACTGTTCTG